GCGGGCTCCATCCCCAGGAGGGGGCGTGCTTGCAGGAAGGAGGCAGCCAGTCAATGATTCTCTCTCATTCTGGATGTTTCTATCTCTCTCTCCCTCTCCTTCCTTCTCTGAAATCAATAAACATATATTTTAAAGAGAGAGAGAGAGAGAGAGAGAGAGAGAGCTGTGTCCCCAGTGGCCCGCCCGGAGCCTGGCTCACGTGAACTCGCCCCGCGTCCAGGTTGGCACTGCTGTCCCGGGCAGGTTGGCTGAGGCCGGCATTCCCGGGGGGTCAGCCAGTCTGCCGTCCCTGCCCCTCGGCCCAGGGTCCCCTCGGCCCAGGCTCACGGCCAGGGAGCGCCCGGAGGCCAGTGTGATCCGGGAAACGGGTACAGTCGGCGGCCCCGGCCTGCGCCCGAGCCCACGGCCCCGTCCCCGCCTGCCCACGCAGCCCGATGCCCGTCAGGCCCAGACTGGGCCCCGCGAGGGGGCAGGGCGTGCTCACACCAAAGAGATCCCTCCCGGTGAGTCAGGAGAGTTATGGGCTGGGAGCCGGTGAGAGCCGGGTGCGTGGGCGGGGATTTCCAGCGAGAGAGAGAGAGAGAGAGAGAGAGAGAGAGAGAGAGAGAGAGAGAGAGAGCCGGCCGGGGCAAGCCTGGGCGGGGTGGCCCCGGGGCGCTGCCCTCGCCGGGTCTGTGGCAGGGGAACCCCAAAACTCAGAGCTTCACCCAGCGTTCACCCAGAGCCCCGAAACCTCCTCCCGTCTCCCTCCGAGGATGCCCACAGCTCAGGATGGAGGCCCCACAGCGGGTGGGGGTGGGGGGGAAGGTCAGGGGGAAGGGAGGGCACCTGTGCATGGAGGACGGTGCAGAGTCAGGGGGAGGAGCACCCCTGAGGCCTGTCCCATCCGGATGGGAAGGAGCTCCCTGACCCTGGGACCCCGGGCCAGGCTGAGGAGGAGGACCAGTGCCCTTTTTATCTTTTTAATATATTTTACTGATTTTTCACGGAGAGGAAAGGAGAAGGGGAAAGAGCCAGAACCGCCGATGCGAGAGAAACACCGACCAGCTGCCTCCTGCACGCCCCCCACCGGGGATGTGCCGGCAACCAAGGCACATGCCCTTGATCGGAATCGAACCCGGGACCCTTCCGTCCGCAGGCCGACGCTCTGTCCGCTGAGCCAAACCGGTTCGGCTATTTTTTTTGTTTGTTTGTTTTAATATGTGTCTTTATTGATTTCGGAGAGGAAGGGAGAGGGGGAGAGAGAGAGAGAAACATCAGTGATGAGAGAGAATCATGGATCGGCTGTCTCCTGCATGTCCCCTACCAAAGCTCAAGCCCGCAACCAAGGCATGTGCCCTTGACGGGAATCAAACCCAGGACCCTTGGGTCTGAAGGCCGACACTCTATCCACTGAGCCACACCAGCTAGGGCAGCTATAACATTTTTAAAAAATATATATATATTGACTGATTTTATGAGAGGAAGGGAGAGGGATAGAGAGTCAGAAATATCGACGAGAGAAACATCCATCAGCCGCCTCCTGCACACTCCCCACTGGGGATGTGCCGGCAACCAAGGTCCATGCCCTTGACCGGCATCAAACCCGGGACCCTTCGGTGCGCAGGCCGACGCTCTATCCACTGAGCCACACTGGTTAGGGCACCTTTTAAAACATATTTATATTTTTTATGCCGAAACCGGTTTGGCTCAATGGATAGAGCGTCGGCTTGGGGACTGAAGGGACCCGGGTTCGATTCCGGTCAAGGGCATGGACCTTGGTTGCGGGCACATCCCCAGTAGGGGGTGTGCAAGAGGCAGCTGATCAATGACTCTCTCTCATCGATGTTTCTCTCTATCCCTCTCCCTTCCTCTCTGTACAAAATCAATAAAATATATATTTAAAAAAACAACAACATATTTATATTTTTTAAAATTAATTTCAGAGAGGAAAGGAGAGGGGGGTGGAGAGAGAGAAGAATGAGGGAGAATCGCGGATCGGCTGCCTCCTGCACGCCCCCCACGGGGATCCGGCCCACAGCCCTGGCGTGTGCCCCGGCCGGGAATGGAACCCTGACCTCCTGCGTCCTAGGTGGACGCTCCACCGGAGCCACGCCGGCCCGGCCCGGAGGCCAGGGGTGCGGACCAGGCCCCTCCTCCACGCGGCTCCAGCGGCCGTTCCCGGGACGCGGTGTCACTGAGCGCGCTCCAGCTGGACGCGGACGGAGGGACTGACCGGCTGACCTGGCAGATCGGCTTTCCCGGGGGGGAGGGGAGGGGGGGAGGCTGCCCTGGCTGCAGCCGGGGCACATTCTGTCCCGCAGGCCGTGAGCCGTCAACAAGTCCACACCGGCCCAAACCGGTGTGGCTCATTGGATAGAGCATCGGCCTGCGGACTGAAGGGTCCCGGGTTCGATTCCGGTCCGGGGCATGTACGTTGGTGGCGGGCACATCCCCGGCGAGGGGTGTGCAGGAGGCAGCTGGCCGATGTTTCTCTCTCGTCGACGTTTCTAACTCTCTGTCCCTCTCCCTTCCTCTCTGTAAAAAATCAATAAAAAATATTTTTAAAAAGTAAAAAAGCCAAGACCGGTTTGGCTCAATGGAAAGAGCGTCGGCTTGGGGACTGAAGGGACCCGGGTTCGATTCCGGTCAAGGGCATGTACCTTGGTTGCGGGCATATCCCTGGTGGGGGGTGTGCAGGAGGCAGCTGATCGATGACTCTCTCTCATCGATGTTTCTAACTCTCTATCTCTCCCACTTTCTCTCTGTACAAAATCAATAAAATATATTTAAAAAAAAAAAAAAAAAAAAAAAAAAAAAAAAAAAAAGTAAAAAAAAAACACAAGTCCATACGGACCGAGTGCCCCAGCCGAGGGGCCCCCCCAAAGGGCCACGTTAGGGCTCCCCTCCCAGGGGCAGGGCCAGGGATACCCCAGCCCTGCGTCCTGTTCCTCCTGGCTCCCCAATCTCCTCGATTCTTCTCACGGGGGCTCCACCGTGGGCCGAGCTGCTCCCGATGGAGAAAGGCCTGAAGTGAGTCACCGGCTCCCAAGCCAGGAGGCAGGTGCCGGGACGGGAGGACAGGACGCCCGGGTCCCCGGGGCCTGCACCGGCCGGGGTGGTGGCATCCACAGAGGCCAGGTCCTCTCGGCCACCCCCGTCCCCATCCCGGCTGGCTGTGCCACAGACGAGGCTGCCGAGGCGGCTGACCTCTCTGATCCCAGGCTGGCTGGCTTCCCTCCTGGCTCAGAGGCCCCGGGGCCCCGCAGAGCCCTGGAGGCTGGCAGCCCACAGGGGCTGGACCAGCCTTTCGAGTCCCCGGGCCCCGGATGGAGGGCAGCCATCTTTGTTGGGTTCATTTGCATACGCACTCCTGATTGGCTGGTGGGCGTCACGAAGGCATGGTCGGTTTGCATCTGTCTCTTTTATTAGTGTAGAGATATATATATATATATATAAATTTTTAAAAATATATTTTATTGATTTTTTTTACAGAGAAGGAGAGAGAGCTAGAAACGTCGATGAGAGAGAAACATCGACCAGCTGCCTCCTGCACGCCCCCCGCTGGGGATGTGCCTGCAACCAATGTACATGCCCTTGACCGGAATCGAACCCGGGACCTTTCAGTCCGCAGGCCGACGCTCTACCACTGAGCCACACCGGTTTTGGGCGATATATATATAAATTTTATTGATGTCAGAGAGGAAGGGGGAGGGAGGGGGAGAGAAAACGTCCGTGATGAGAGCGTCCATCATGGACCGGCTGCCTCCCGCATGCCCCCCACCTGGGCCTGGGAACCGAACCCTGACCTCCTGGTTCCTCGGTTGACGCTCAGCCCCTGACCACACCAGCCGGGGGCAGGGTCACACGAAACTTTTTAGGCAGCAAAGAGAGGGAACCGCCGCCCCCCCCCAAATCTCCCCCAAACTCAGTCCAGGGACAAGGTCTTTCTCTGGGAGGGGAGCCTCAGGCCTGGCCGAGCGGGCCCTCCCGGCCTGTGGGATGGAGAGGCCTCTAGGCAGTGAGACCGGAGTCCCCCTGGCCTCCCTCCTGGCTCCCCACACCCCCTCCGTCCCAGGGGACTGAGTGACCCAGTCCCTCTCCTCCCGCCAGGCCCCCTCCCCGGGGTCCCCCTGGCGTCCCTCTTGGCTCCCCACACCCCCTCCGTCCCAGGGGACTGAATGACCCGGTCCCTCTCCTCTGTTCGCTCTGGCTTCTCCCCGCAGGCACCGAGCAAGCCTGCCCCTGGCGAGCAGGTCCCCCCCAAACCCCCCTCCCCTCTCCCCTCTCCCCTCCTCCCTCTCCCCTCTCCCCTCTCCCCTCTCCCCTCTCCCCTCTCCCTCTCCCCTCTCCCCTCTCCCTCTCCCCTCCCTCCTCTCCCCTCTCCCCTCTCCCCTCTCTCCTCTCCCCTCTCCCTCTCTCCTCTCCCCTCTCCCTTCTCCCCTCTCCCCACGGAGCAGCGGCGGCTCCAAGAAGCGGGCTGTTGTGTAAGCGGCCCCCCCACCGCCCCCGCCCCCGCCCCCTCCCCTCCCTGGGCGCCCGCCCCCCGCGGCCCCGCGGCCCCGCCCCAGGCCCGGCCCCCCAGGCCCTGCCCGCCGCGCAGGGGCGGGGCCGTGGGCAGGAATGCGGCTCGGGAGGCGGCGGCGGGACGTGTGAGGGCAGGTCCGCGGCGGCTCCGGCGCAGAGGGGCCCGGGAGGAACCGGCGGGCGCAGCGGGGGCGGCAGAGGCCGCAGCGGGCACCCGGGAGGCCAGCGCGCACCAGCGGTCCGGGGCGCAGGGGGCGCGCAGGGTGAGCGCGCGGGGCCGCCGGCGATCCGGGTTCCCAGCGGCGCTCCCGGCTCCCGGCTCCCCGGACACCCCGTCCCCCCGGGCTCTCCAGCTCCCGGCCCCTGTCCCCCGGGCTCCTGGCTCCCGGCTCCCGGCTCCTGTCCTGTCCCCCGGGCTCCCCTCCCCGGGCTCCCCAGCTCCCGGCCCCTGTCCCCCGGGCTCCCGGCTCCCGGCTCCCGGCTCCCTTGCCGGCATGGCGCTGGCGGCGCCGGCCGTGCTGAAGGAGGGCGTGCTGGAGAAGCGCAGCGGCGGGCTGCTGCAGCGCTGGAAGCGGAAGCGCTGCGTGCTCACCGAGCGGGGCCTGCAGCTGTTCGCGGCGCGCGGCGCGGGCGGCCGCCCCAAGGAGCTGGGCTTCGCGCGCATCCGCGCGGTGGAGTGCGTGCAGCGCACCGGCCGCCACGTCTACTTCACGCTGGTCACCGAGGCGGGCGGCGAGATCGACTTCCGCGGGCCGCCCGAGGACGCGGGCTGGAGCGCGCAGATCTCGCTGGGCCTGGTCAAGTTCAAGAACCGCCAGGCGCTGGAGACGGTGCGCGCGCGCCAGGGCCCGGGCGCGGGGGCCCTGGTGTCCTGAGATGCCGCGGGGTCCCCCCTCCCGCCCCCCGCCGCCGAGGACCGGGGGTCACGTGGGGTAAGGCCTCTGGGGGGGACTGGACGCCCTTTCTCCCCCGAACCTCGCTGCACCCCTTTCCTTGAGACAGAATTGGGGGGAGAGGGGGGGACACACACTCCCACCAGCATTCATTCCCCTTAAAAGCTGGTCTATCCGCTGGCTGGTGTGGCTCAGGGGTTGAGCATCGGCCTGTGAACCCAGGAGGTCACAGTTGGATTCCCTTCCGGTCAGGGCACAGGCCCGGGTTGCAGGCTGGATCCGCAGCCGATATCCATGATTCTCTCTCATCGATGTTTCTCTCCCTCTCCCTCTCCCTCTCCCATTCTCTCCGGGAAAGAAAGTTTAAAAAGCTGCACCATCCTAGGGCAAGGAGAGATGGGGAGCTCAGGAGTCTGAGCCTGGGAGGCCTGCCCTTCCTTCCCTGTCCCCCCACTCCCATGGGGACCTGGCAGGGGGTGGGACAGGCCTCAGCACAGGTGGCGTCGCTTTCTGGGAATCGGGTGGGATGGCCTGAAGCTCTGGCCGGGATGCAGTCTCCTCCGAGAAGCAGGGAATCGAGGCAGACAGGGTCCCCGATAGGAGCGGGGTCAACAGGGTTGTGGACGGACCGAGGATCCCCATTTGCCAGGTGAGGAGCCTCATATGCCAGGGGCGAGGGGCTAGGCTGCTCGGTCCCACCACCCGTTGTGTATTTGTAAACATATCTCTATAGATTTCAGAGAGGAAGGCGGAGGGAGGGAGAGAGAGAGAGAGAAACATCCATGACGAGAGAGAACCACGGACCGGCCGCCTCCTGCACGCCCCCCACTGAGGATGGAGTCCACCCCCCGGGCGTATGTCCTTGATGGGGAATCGAACCCTGACCTTCTGGCTCCTAGGTGGACGCTCCACCACGGAGCCATGCCAGCTGGCGTCCACCACCTTTTGTGGACCGTGGGGGCCTAGGGCTGAGCTGCTGGGGGTCCCGGGGAGTCGGCGGTGGGCAGGGCAGTCCATCGATGCCCTGAGTGCCAGCCAGTGCCCGGCGGGCACAGAGAAGCTGGGCTGCAGGGGGTGGAGGGAGGTGGGGGCAGGAGGAGGCCGTGGTGTGTTTGTGGAGATTTATTTCTTCATCCTCGTGGGCATGAGGGCAGAGGGCGGGGGCGGGTTTGTGTCCGGAGGGCCCCGGGGAGAGACAGGAATAGGCCCTGGGTGGCAGCCTGGCCCCCAGCCCGGTGCCCTCTCCCCCAGTTCCACTCCCTCCCCTGGGAACCGGGGCAGCTGGCGACGGATCGGCGCCCTTCCGGGATTCTGTGTTGTTGTGTTTTGTGGTTGTTTTTTTTTTTAATATATTTTTTTATTGATTTTTTTACAGAGAGGAAGGGAGAGGGATAGAGAGCTAGAAACATCGATGAGAGAGAATCATCGACCAGCTGCCTCTTGCACGCCCCCCACTGGGGATGTGCCCGCAACCAAGGTCCATGCCCTTGACCGGAATCGAACCCGGGACCTTTCCGTCCGCAGGCCGACGCTCTATCCACTGAGCCAAACTGGTTTTGGCTAAAAATATATTTTATTGATTCTTTATGGAGAGGAAGGGAGAGGGAGAGAGAGCTAGAAACCTCAATGAGAGAGAATCATTGACCAGCTGCCTCTTGCACGCCCCCCACTGGGGATGTGCCTGCAGGGCAGGAAGGAGCTCCGGTGCCAGGTCTGCCCGGCACATCCATGCCCTTGACCGGAATTGAACCCGGGACCTTTCCGTCCGCAGGCCGACGCTCTATCCACTGAGCCACACCGGTTTCGGCGGGGGGGGGGGGCCGCTCTTTCTCTCCTCTCCTTCCCTCCCTCCTCCCCAAGGACTGATCCTCATGGTCCCCCGCCCCGTGGGGGGGGCCGGGGGCTCGCCGCCGTCCGTCAGGGCGGGCGGTGCAGACACTCTTTCCTCGTCCGTCCGCGTGCGGAAGCGGCCGGGGCGCCGGTGTGGACTCTCGTTCTCTCTCTCTTTCCAGCGTCCGGCCCCTTCGGGACGAGGGCCACGCGTCCCTGTCGGCTGCAGGAGGCCTCGCCGCTGAGGGGCCGGGCGGCCGGCCCCGCAGGAGGGCAGAGGCCGCGCGGGGCTGAGGATGAATGTTCAGCCCCTGGACGCTGCGGGGCCCAGCGCGTCCCCAGCACGGAGCCCGCCCGCCCGCCCGCCACAGGCCCGGCGCATGGACCACCGGGCAGACCTGGCACCGGAGCTCCTTCCTGCCCTGCAGACTGCCGCCCGCCCGGCTCCGTGCCGCCAGGAGGAGGAGGAGGAGGAGGAGCAGGAGGAGGAGGAGGAGCAGGAGGAGGAGGGGGGGGGGCAGAGCCTCACAGGCCCCGAACCTCAGGACACAGAGGCCAGCCTGGCCCCCCTTGGGGGGGAACCACCTCAGGACTGACCTGGCGGGGGGGTCTCCTGCTGCTTAGTTCCCTCTGGGACCCCCCCCCTCCAGGCCCCTCTTGCACCCCCCCCCCCGCCTCCTGACCTTCGACCCCGCCCCGCGGTGCTAGGCCTGGAGGGGGAGGGGGTGGGGGTGGGGGTGGGTGGGGTGGGGTCTGGCCCTGACCATTCCGTGCTGGTCCCCGAATGAAGGCGCCCTGCCCGGGCAGTGCCCACGCCGTCTGCCGAGTGGAATTCTTTGCGCCCCGTCCTCGCCCCATTTTCCCGACACACGGACTGCTCCTTGTTTTTTATTTTTATTATTAAAAAAAAAAAAAAAAATATATATATATATATATATATATATATATATATAATTTTATTGATCTTGTACAGAGAGGAAGGGAGAGGGAGAGAGAGCTAGAAACATCGACAAGAGAGAAACACCGGTCAGCTGCCCACCTGGGGATGGGCCCACAACCAAGGTCCCTGCCCTGGGCTGGCATCGAACCTGGGACCCTTCAGTCCCGGGACCTTTCGGTCCACAGGCCGACGCGCTATCCACCGAGCCACACCGACCCTGGCCTGTTCTCTGTTTTTCATGTGTTTTTATTCGGAGAGGAAGGGAGAGGGAGAGAGAGGAACGTCCATGAAGAAGGAATCATGGATCAGCAGCCTCCCGCACGCCCCGCCCTGGGGATGGAGCCCGCACCCCGGGCCTGTGTCCCGACCGGGACTCGAACCCTGACCTCCTGGCTCGTGGGTTGATGCTCAGCCGAGGAGCCATGTCTTTTCAGAGACGGGACCCTGTGGGCAGAGGCTGTCTCTGCTGGGAAGGGCTGGGCCTGCTTCTGGGTCCGGGTGTCCCCCCCCCCCCCCCCGCCGTGTCCCGGGCGCCCCCGATTCCCGAGAGGGAGCTCGGATTCCGGAGAGGGAGCCCCGACCCCGGGAACGCCCGGCGGGACCCCAGAGCGGGGTCAGGGCCTCCCCGAGGGCGCCAGCGGCCGGGCCGGGCCAGCAGACACGCACGGGATGGAAAACTTGGCTCAGCTGGACGGCGGGAGAGGCTGTGGCCACTGTCTGGGGCCTCCCCCCTGCCCCCCTCAGCCTGGCGGCCCTGCCTCCCTCCTGCCCACCCGCCGGCTGAGTGAGTCACCATGGGGCCAGGAGACCGGCAAGTCCTGGCCCAGCAGCCGGGAGACAGAGGCCCAGGCTGGGGGGAGGGGGCCCGAGGGGAGCCGAGGGGCGGGGGAGGGCGGCTCCTGCCGTGAAGGGGGCCGGGGCCAGGACTGAAGCCTTTAAGGGGCTCCGAGGCTCAAGCAGCAGAAGGTAGACAAGCCTACTGGGCGCTGCGGTGAGGAACCCCGAAACCTCTCCTCCCCAGAAGCGGGGTGCCCAGCCCCCGTGGGGTCGCAGGGACCCCGCTTGGCCCCCTCGGGGCTCTCTGCCTGAGTCTGCGCACCTCCGACCACCGGGACGTCCTTCCGGAGGCTGCAGGGGGAGCTGGGGGGCCGGGGAGGGGCCCCCCACGGACGGGAGGCCGCCCCGGAAACGGGGAACCGGGGTGCTAGCAGCCGCCTCTTCCTGCAGTTGTTGTGGGATTAATTGAGGAAATGTCTGCAGGGAGATAAGACGGGAGATAGGGACCTGTTTGTTGTTACAGCCATAACCTGCAATTAGCAGGGAGGCAGCAGCTTGGCAGGCCAGGTCCCTAATCTGGGGGGGCGGGGGGATAGGGGGAGCCCCGAGAGGAGTGTCTGCACCTCAGGATGCTCAGAGGCAGGAAGGGGCTGCCTGACTCGGACGCCGAGGCCCACGCTGGCCTGGCTCCTGCCGGGGCCTCTGGTGCCCGAACCCCCGGTTATAAGAGAGACAGGCGCCCAGCGTGGTTCCGTGGCTCCGTCCCCCTCGTGGCTCCGTGGCTGAGCGTCAGCTTAGGAGCCAGGAGGCCACGGTTCGATGCCCGGCCGGGGCCCACGCCTGTGGCGGGCTCCATCCCTGCGTGGGGCGTGCAGGAGGCAGCCGATGCTCCCTCACGATTAGGTGGTGTGGGCCCCGGGACCCCCTCCCTGCAGGGGTGCCCCGAGGGGAGACACCGAGGCACCGCCCCCAGCATCACGTTCTCACCTGAAAACTCCGTCTGCACCCCCAGACCCACGTCCCCACACGGGCAGAGGCCCAGGACGGACAGGGACAGCTCGGCCTCACGCCATCCCCCCTGGCCCCGCCCCCGGCCCCTCTGTCCCGCCCCCCGGCCCCGGCCCCCAGCCCCCAGCCCCAGCCCCCTTGTCCCGGCCCCCCGGCCCCCGGCCCCAGCCCCCCTGTCCCGGCCCCCCGGCCCCCGGCCCCCAGCCCCCAGCCCCTCTGTGCCAGCCCCCGGCCCCGGCCCCCCTGTCCCGGCCCCCCGGCCCCTGGCCCCCAGCCCCCGGCCCCTCTGTCCCAGCCCCTGGCCCCCGGCCCTGGCCCCTCTGTCCCGGCCCCCGGCCCCCGGCCCCGGCCCCTCTGTCCCGCCCCCCGGCCTCCGGCCCCGCCCCTCTGTCCCGCCCCCTGGCCCCCAGCCCCGGCCCCTCTGTCC